CCTTCTCACTGCCTTCTCGTGGAGCAGTTGTTTTCCCACCAAGCTAAGAGGACGAAAAACTGATATCCGGGCTATAACCGGGTTGATGAAACCCTGGTAGTTCACTTAGGGGAGTTGGCCAAAAACCCGGATTCCAAGAGGAGGCGTTCGAATCATACATACCTTCCCGGTTCTGATCGCCGATTGGTCATCGACTTTTGACCCCGTCCGAAGGGCGAATAACCCGACGAACTGGACACCGGCCCCCAATGGATTGCGGTTTTCACACACCACCCCGCCGCATTGCAGGTCAGGTTTTGGCTAGTCAAAGGCTTTGGTTGTGGATTCCTCAAGAAAATTCAACTTGACAGTATTCCGCTCGCATGCTAATCATGAACATTGTTTTTCATAAAGAATATTGTACACACTGTATAGATTCAGACATGGGTGAAAATATTTATAATATATCATAACTTACTGCTTGCCATCTTGAGTGAGGTTTCTTCTAGTGGGTTCAACCCAACAATTCACATTTATCAAAGTGCAGCTAGCTAAACGTTAATTTACAATTATAAAATATTGGCTTATTAAGAACACGACACTCAACGGATGAAAGCAGTAATCAGTAAAGCACTCAAAATTGTGGGTCTGAGCTTATGAATTTTGTGGGTACATGTGCAAAAACGCGCGGCATAAACTGCGGCCATTTCGTAAACGTTTGTTTTTGTAGAGTATGTGTACACCTTGAAGATGATAATATATGTTGAACCAATTTCAGGCACACTTTGCATTTCATTTGTGTGCCACTTTTAGGTTTTTCCTTGCTTAAAGACCTAAGATCTCACTCTCTCTCTAATGCAACTACCTATCACTCATTTTCCCCCACCTTCGCCTGCTCGTTGTTGTTCATCAATTGTAGTCTTTATGGAGGAAGAACTGGACTTTCCTTCGGTAGTTGGATGGCCTATGCCTTACCCATCTCCATAATCCTCTTGATTATCACATGGTGTTGGCTATCCATATTATTTGTTGGAATAAGGTAAGAACACCATAAAACGACATCTCTTATTTAAGTTATAAATAATAAGACAAATGTGGTATCTTTCAGAATAATAAAGCTAGAGTACTGATCAAGTTGTTGGATAGAGTTTGCGATCACTTATGTCAGAAAGTTCATGGAAAGGTTCTCATGTTTAAATGCACTTATCTGTCATTCACTAGTCGAATATCTCCAGCTCTTTTGATGATTTTCACCTATTACGACATATGGGTTACCGTTTTCAGAGTGTTGTGGAATTTCTATCACCTGTATGATACTTTTAGTTTTATTTCCACAAGACCGGTAAAATTTAATTCAAGTATATTATTAGATTTAAATGATGCTGAATCCCATGAAGGAAATCATTTTAAAAAACGCAATTAGGCGTATGTTCAGGAGAACATCTGAACACTGTCCAACCGCTCTTCGCAAACGAACAATGAAAAACCTAAACAACTAAGTCCTCTAATATCTGGTCAACAGTTGGCACAGAAAAGAGGAACCGCTCATGAATTTCTTTACACCACTTGAGATCCAAACCATAGGGTTACGTGAGTTCCAAACTGCAAAATAGATGGGAATTATTGTCATACATCTATTCATCCATTACTTCTCGGGGCAATTTATTATTCCATTAATTAGTCAAAATACACGTGTGAATACCTGAAGCAATAAAGCGAAAATACATTTCTTCACGTTTTCAATTTATTCCTGTTCGATAGCAAACCGGTCATCATATTTATCTACCTAGCTCATACACGGACATCTCAACTCTTGATTTAATTATAAAAACATGGTGGTCACGATGATCAAACAGATGGTCACTCCATCTAATAACCAGAGATTCGGGTCTTTGTGACACTAATGACCGTTTTTGTTTTCGTTCAGAGGCTTTTGTCGTAGATCCCGTGGATCCAAACGAGATGCATTGGTGAAGGATGTTATTGCACAACAAGCAAGAATGCTAGGAAAATTTACGTGAGTTTTAATGACGCTCCGCTCATAAATCGCAACTTTGAATTGATCACCTATTTACAATAGACTTAGTCACCCATGAGGAAGTTCATCATCTTCCCAAAAATACGAAAATCGCTAATGCAGTTGGCGTAGATGGTCTGTCTTCATCGTTGCTCAAGTATGGCGCTAGCTCAGTCACGCTTTCGTCCTATCATCATCACCTCCTCTGGACGTAGGCTTTCAGAATGCGCTATTCTCACCCGCTTGCAGTCTGGTATTTTTGTTCCCAATGATCCTGTCCAATCTGCGTACCAGTCAAATAGATGCACTTTGGATGCCGTCTCTTCAATGATGCACTCTATTTGCAAATCTTCAGATGATTCTCAAAAGTCCGTTCGCTGTGTTTCTCTTGACTGTTCTTCCACTTTCGATTCTCTTTAGCTTGGCAATTTGTTTGCAAACGTTTCATCACCAGCTGAGGTGACATCATCGGCGCTTGTGAAATGGCAGTGTTCTGCATGTACCCGTTTGTTTATGTACTCTTCTCCATCGACTATTTTTGTTCCTTGATCTCACTGTGTTCGCCGTTGAACTGGTGCGAGAGGGTGAGAATGGGAGGGGAGGAGGTTGCCCTTTCGTCCTGTTTGGGGTTTCCGTCCGTTCTCAGGTCACGGCGTAACATTTTTTGTTGCGCCATTGTCCTTGAGTTGCATTGGCGTGTACATGTGATCCAGTTCGATGTGCCTTTTTATTGAGTTGATTGAAGAGCGCCAAGATCCGAGAAATTCTCTGACGTGTTTTGACCGGGCTTGGTCGATAATTCTCACTGATTTGAAGTCAAATTGATGTCCTTTTCGATCTTCGTGGAGGGAAATCAACGATAGTGGGTCATGTCTCCGGACTGGTGATTGGAGTTCACGGATCCTTGTTGACAGTTTTCTCACAGTTTGTCCGATATAGTGTTTTGGGCAGTTCTTGCAGTTTATTTTGTAGATGACCCTGCTCTTGCCCTTCTCCATTGTTTTCTCCTTGGGTTTTGTCAGACGTCCCCTAAGAAAGGCAATTGGTTTGTGGGCGACTTCGATTCCATATGATTTGAGCAGTCTTGCTGTCACTCCCGAAACGTCCTTGATGTCTTTCTTGTTCCCGATTTTCCATCTGTTGTTTCCGTCTCTTTTTGAGGCAGAGTTCTTTTGATGAAGTTGCGGGAGTAGCCATTGTGAGCAAATACTCTGAGGAGGTATCTTTCTTCTTTCTTCTTGAGTATGTCTGTGCTGCAGTGCATTGTGATTCTTCCGAACAGGGTTCTAACACAGCATCTATTGTGGCTGTGACACTGACGAGGTCACCTCGGCTGGTGATGAAACGTTTGCAAACAAATTGCCAATCTCGGCGAACAGGAGAAATGGAATAAATTAGTAAGCTCAAGTTGATGCTATCCCGTGCTGCTGTACTGGAGCAGTTATATTTTTCATACATATGCAGTGGAACTGGCCGCTCTGAATCACAAAGATTCTTGTAATAACTCTGGTCAAGCCTTTTCACATTTTCCTCATGGATTCAAAATATTTGGAACGGAATCTTTGCATCTGAACTCTCAAACTGGCTAATGCCTTTCGTTGTTGTCCTTTGCAGATATGCTGAAGGCATGTGCTGCTTCCTGTTCCTGCTTATCACACTCCTTTGGGTCACTCGAAATGCCGGTCGCGCTGGATGGAATCGATTTTTCAAATACAACGGTGAGAGGTAAGTATTCAAACACTTTAGTTAGATGTTTTCTTTCATTGACATTGATCGGTAATACAACTATTGTGTAATCATTGTGCTATTCAATTTAGAATTAACCTTTAGAACATTTCAAATCAATGGATCTGTTGTTTTCATTATGAAGTATTCCTCTCCGGATACGATTGGTACCAATTTCTATCGGTATTCTGGGTTTCCGCTCAAAGCTAGTCATAATCTGATAGGTTTGCTTCTGCTTGAATATAATCCCCACATCATAGTGGTACAACTCTATGAATTTGTTGTAGATAACAATAAAGAATATGGCCCAAAGTTATGCAGAAAAAAAGCTGTAGCTGAAAGAAAATTCTTTTTTCATTTTACTTCCTTTTATTGAATATACAAAGATACAATTTTTCAGGATGGGGGAAGCGACCAATCAGAGGGTGCTATACAACACACAAATGGGGAAAGTCAGGTGGTGGTGGTGGTGGGATTCGAACACTCGTCCTCAAGGCTGATAATTTGATGACGTTACCACCGGACCACCAAGTTGTCAATATTTTCATTAACTGCGCTCATAAGCGATGGAAACGAGTGATGGATGTCAAATAGATCCAGTTATGTACAGATAATTCAATATTGACACAATTTCGTTATCTCAGACAATGTTTGGGGTGAAGCGTTGATATACTAAGTTCTTTCCCAGTTGAGTGCTGAATAGAAAAGTATTTTCAAATTGTGCTAGTTCCAAGTAAATATCTTTATGGACGTGGTGACTCTTCTTTTGCTTGATTTTCTACAAGAATTTGTCTTTACATATAAAATTTTCCGTCTTTCCGATCGACCATGCAATCGGCACACAACAGAGCCGATTTTGGCTCGTATCTTCTATATTGCATAACTCTCAGCTTGATACGAGTGAAGTGATGGTTGCCTGTGTTTACTGCTATCGGGACTGGTATCAAATACAATATTCGAAGTACCTGGAATCGCTTATTCTATTCTAACTTGATATAGCCAGTTATGTTAGATTGGTATTAAACACATCCTTCGCGTGAAAAGATTAGGGGTTTATTCCTCGATTGGCTGGTACATGTGATGAACAACCATGGTTGAAAACCCTTATTAAGACCATTTCCGATTGAACCAATAGTTGGATACGTGGAGTGGTAATGTGAACGCTGAGCCATTTTCAGTCAAAGCTAGAAATACCTTGTTCATAATCTCCACTCACAGGTTACTCTGAGTAAAAACCGCAGTTTTTAATTGTCTTTATTCGACTGATGTTATCCTTTAAACATGCACTGATGGATACTTATCATTCGGTTTTATTTACTCTTCTCTTTTACCGTTCTCAGTTACGTGACGGATGCACAACCTGCAATCCTCGTATCGCTTATTGCTCTCATCTTCCCAGCAGTTGGTCCTCTCGAGTTGTGGCGCTATCATTATCACCATTATAAAAACCCTACAGGTTAGCTATTTGCCTGACAATGCGTATTCTTGCAGTTATGTGCTTCGAGTTTGGGATAAATGCCCCGTTGTGAAACACTGTTTGATTTTAATTTGTTTAGATATTATTTTGAAGTGTTGCCATTTGGTAGTTAGGTTGTGATCAGTAATTATCCCAAAAGCTTAGTTTCATATGTGCGTGAAACCTGAATAAGTCACACGGTGAACCTGTGGACGACCCAGTCCTGTGAACGTGAAGGGACCTAATGTGGACATCTTTGTAACCGTGAGACCGCTAGATATCTTTGGATGCAGGAAACGCGAGCTCCATAGGATAATCATGTGAATGGCGCTGAACTAGAATCAATTAGGACTAGTTTTAGTTTTCACAAGTCAAACAGTCAATGTGAATTCTGACCTGCGATGTAGGTTGCTTGCTTCCTTGGTTGATCATTTGGCCAAAGTCGTTCAAAAAGTTCGTGTCGATTTTCATCAACACTGAATAAACGTAGTTCCACCTATGCACTATGCAACATACAATTGACAGTACGCTTCATATTCCTGAAAATCTAAAATAAAATAATGTAATTAATGAAAGAAACCAGAAGTAAGGACAAAGAATTTTAGTCGCTCACTCAGCAACACAATTTCGTGTTGCGAGATCGTGCCCCACTTCATATCAAGCAATAAATCACTATGGGTATTTATTCAGCTAAGGCTTACCTCATTTCAAGGATCTTGCAATCCTGTCACGCTGTTTTTGTCCGATGCATTGTAAACAATTTACGCCGTACAATCCGAGAAACGGAGAGAAGTAAGTGCAGTGGTGAGGATTGAAATCACCCAAGAGATATATGATCCGAATTGACAGAGCAGCAAGAATTGAAGCAGGTTAAAACAAGTGAACTGATTATTAAACTTACATACTAACATTTCAATGCCTTCTCCTTGGTGAGGTCATTCCATCAACTGGATTGCTTGTTTTTCAGCTGCTGTGGATTTCCCTAATCAGTTCCTTCTTCCGTGGCACGTGGCTCAAAAAAATATCCCTTGGGGTGTGATGTTTGTCCTTGGTGGCGGGTTCGCGCTTTCTGATATTTGTCAGGTAATTGGAAACCATTGAAACACTGGCTTATTGCTGTTTGTTCCCCTGAATTGGTTTCAGTTTTCGCTAGCTAGTGCCTGCTCATAGTGAACCTGTGTCAAATTGATATCTGGGCAAAATTTATTTTTACCTTAGCCCAATCTAAGGGACAATTCAAATGTCGGTAAAAAGAAATATCGCCAAATTACTCTGCTTCCGAAGACACTGAGGTAAACTTCATAATTATTTAAAACATATTAGTCGTTAGAGGGCTTTATCTGGTAATAACCAGTATTCACACACATACGAAGCGATATCGGCATCATGCCTCACTACCACCTACAACAGATGGCATCCATCAGATTTACCTTGGCCATTCAGTTTGATTGTTAGTGCTGGGGCAAACACATCTGCAGAACTGAGCGGCCAACTGCACTTGGAATAGTCTAACTTTTCCGAGTTGCCGGAGAAGGACATCGCAGACAAGGTCAAACTTCAATTATTCATTGGTTGCCTGCCCACTACATTGTCCATCAAATAAGTCAGACTAACCTACCTGTGATAGTTTTGTGTTTTCGCACGACGGTCAAGCACAAAACTTACAATAGCCTTATCAAATTAGACAGGGTTTATTCTGTTGTGTACATACAATAGATTATTTCATTTTCAGGGTCGCATTTCCGCCAATTCCATGTTGCTGCCATGCAAAGTCCTCTGTGCACCATTCCTGCTGATATATTTGTGGCAAGTCTGAAGCGGAACTTCAGTTACAGGCTCATGAAAACCCTTCCGCGAAAACGGAACGTGGACGACGTCCTACTCATTATTGACTTGAAATCGAAGGTGTCAGGCTTATTTGAAAACCCTCGGTGCGCCTATCTGAACATACAGCTGACCGTCGTAGATGAATAAACTTTAATCCTGTCCCTCTTGTATGTGAAAATGGAATAGAGAAACGAAGGAAAACACAAATGAATGGACCAGTATCTGTAACTCACCAGCCTCGCCCAAACTTCCTACAAATGAGCGTTAGTAGGAACACTCTGTGAAAGTGGGAAACACGTGTTTGAATCTAAAAATCCCGCAGATGAGATGATATATTTGAATAAATATTCGAGGATAATGCTTACCCGAACTCGTTTGGTAAAAAGGCGAAAGATGTGTACAGACATGCCAGGTGATTCCACACTTATCTTTCAAGCTTGATGAAGTTTGTGAATTGTAAGTGTGCAACCAAAGGTCATTCAAAAAGAGCGCTCAACAGGGTTAAATGATTTATGGTCTTTTCTTATGACAAAATACCGAAACCTCCAGTCAAGTAACAGCTTTATAGTTGCGCCAACTCCCACCTGTTGTACGAATTCGACTCTGGTCCTCTACTACCTACTCAGGAAGAACCGAGTGGTGGCTTATATAAGAGATACCCGAACACCTCCGGTCCTGGTGATTAATTGTTTTCTTTTCAACTAAGCAACAGACCTGAGACACCACAACCATTTTCCCCCGAAACAAATTGTACAACACTGCGCTGCTCTGTTTTATATTCAACTTTTTATAATACAGATAAGTTTGCACTCTTGACGCGAATATTTTATTCGTATCTACTTCAGTTGGAGCAACTGCTTACATAGGGCCATAAAGCAAAATTATGTAGATAGATGACGGCGTTAATTCATCATTCTTTACTGGTTAGAACTAAGTCACGACACAGGTTGATATCTTCAAGTGATTCTCGTAGGATAGCTAGTTAGATTACATTCACGTCTGTTTTCACTGTACTACTCTTATAGTTTCAAAAGACCAATGCTGGTTAATAAGAGCGATTTATTCAGAGAACAGCATTCGTTTAGGGGGGACAGGAACACAGAGAATGAAACATATATTTTTAAATAACTCGTTAGTATTTCCGTGAATAACTCGTAATCGGTGATCGCCAGTCTACTTGTCTGATTTTCACTACAGTAGTTGGAATATTATATCTGTGAATTCACTCATGGACGCCCTGAAAATTCAAGTATTCTTCCTGATGAGCGCAAATCACTTACTATTGTGTGCAGTACCTAAAAAACTACGAGTAAAATTCTATCCTTCCCGTTGTTGATCATCTGCTTTGACGTTCACTCATCTGTATCACACATAGTTATCGTTCCGAATGCAGTTTAAGGCAAACGTTTCTCCCGCTTATCATGAAAGCCTTCCATTATCGATGAATATTTTTCTTGCCGATGCATTACACAAGATAAAATTTACACACCTCCAGCGTACCTGAAAGAAAGACAAGTGTGTCTGGTATCCTATAATGCTGGTGTTAAAAAACATTACTTGAGGATTCCTTGATTCAATATCAGAGCGTTCTCTGGACTGCCATTATCAAATTAAAGGTGCATCATTCTCCATTATCTACAACGTGAAATCCATGAAAAGCATCACATTGATCAACCCCTTTCTAATGTGTACATCATCAGCAAAACATTGATCGATCGAATTTTGGTATGCATGAAACAGTTTTAGTTCAGTTTAAAAAATCACCCGTATTCTACTGTTCCCATGAAATGGTGGCAAAATTGTCTTGAAATCATATTAATCCGCTATCTTACTGTTATAGACACCGTATCTTTAGTTATTTCTCGAAGCTGTGTCTGTTCAACTCCCTCTCTCACTTCAGCTATCTGGATTGTCAGCGGAAATCGGGAACTTCNTCCTCGGAAAACGTTTTGCTGGACTTTCAGTGATGACATTGGTCGTTGTTTGCTCTGTTTGCGCCGCGGCGTTGACCGAACTGACTTCAAATGCGGCAACTGCCTCCATTCTGCTCCCGATCATGTTCAGTCTAGTATGAGAACGTTTTATCCTCCGTTCGATCTCTAGTTAAACAGTTTCATTTGATTTTGTGTTCCCAATATTTGTGTACTGTGGTAGAATAAAAGATATGTATTTGACTAAAACTGAGTATGATGACGGTTAGGGAAAATCCGAGTGAAAGATGTGTGAACTGGACCTGATATGAAAGGTGTTAGCGAAGAATGAATAAAACATGAGTGAAAGTATGCGAAAAAGACAGCATATGAGGAGTGGAAGTAGGTAGAGAATAGAAGGTGTCATAGAGATATGTGTAATTGTACTTATGGCCATGGTAATAGCAGCACCTGAACGAAATTACATTGCATGCAGAACTCCAGGTTCATGATCCTAATTGCCATGGTTTCCGTAGTTGTTTGGGTCTTCTTACGTAATCCTTTGGTGTGGTTCTTAGGTGCAGTGAAGAATCTTGTTTCTGGGTCAGTGCTATGTCTACTGTCGACCAGATGTTGCAGGATTGAGCTGCTCAAGCTTAATACTGTTCTTTTTCGAAGAGCGGCGGACAATGTTTAGATATTCTCTTGGACAAACGCCTCGTTGTGTGTCCAATATGGCGAGCACTACAAGTGCACGTGAAATGATACAGAACAAAAATTTGTGACTGATGTGGCAATTTATTCTCAAGTTTTTGAACAACGAATGGCTTAGTCCTCGATGAGAGCCTTAAATGCACCGCGGGAAAACGGATAACCGATATTTCGGGATTTCTAATTCCGTGTCGCTCTTGAACGGAACGTTGACGAAAACCTCCTTCTTTCTAACCAGTTGCACTTTTGCATGAATTTTGCATGACGGTTGTATAAAACGATTGCCACTTTTTCTTCGAAAGAGTGCAAAGGAATAAATATCTTTCAGGTCTTTGCATACTTCACGTCGTGCCACCCTGTTCCACTCGTTGTTTATAAGTATCATCATGAACATACTGATATGCTTAATCGCAGATCGTGGAATGGGTGTATATTGAACTGTTCTCGTGAGTGATGTAATGATACGTGGTTAGTAAATTCAAATCTCTAACGAACGCAACGGTAAACTTGAAACTGCTCACGAATTCAGTGGAACAAGGCAGCACGCGATGCTTGATATTCCAAATGATCAGCATCATCCATTAAATTCTAACCCACAAACCAACTTTGTCGGTTCGATTAGATGACCTGTGACGTCATGTATACAGCACCGAACTCTTACTATTTGGGTAACCGACACAAACTACACCGGAATATAGAATGCATCAGTTTGGATGCAAACTGTCTGATGTGACAAGCCCTCTAAGAATTCACCACGATCGACTGAATACAGTTAGTTTTTCAAATTGCGTTGTTTTGATACATCACAGAAAATAAATGCGAAAACTTTAGTTTCACAAATGTAATCTCGTAGCGCAAATGGCAAAGCATGCGTTACGAAAAGCAGTGGTATATTCATACGAGCCTCCAGCAACACTCAAACCTTTGATCTTTTCCTAGTTTAAATTTTTAACTTGTGTTTTGCTTCCAGACCATCAATATTTGTCGAAATGACAATTTTCCCGTAGGTTTTATCCCAAGACATCGTCCATATAATTGCCGCTTTTTGTGAAGAAAAACGATACACCGAGATCGGCAATCATAAAAAACCTCTGAATTTATTGTTTTGTCTTGGTATCAACCGGCTCATTGGTTCATAAATACCACTGAACATTAATTCCTTTCCTGTTTTGCCATTTATATCCCCTAAGAGACAGAACTTACAAATAATCATGTTGAAATACGGAACTTCTCCTCTACACTAATATTATGATTAAATTTTCTTTTTAACTGATCAAAAATACACATTTGCATTTGATTTCCATGGAAGAGCTGAGACCATTCAAAGGCTACTCATGAAAATATGATCATAGAAAAGTTTGGCAATGATGGTGGTATTACAACCCAGCACAGCCAGATCTCACTTTAGAGGACGTCAACCAATGGGCCAAGGTCACCCTAACTACGTTTGAGTCGACGATCAATATTTTAGGAGGATGGCTATAATTAGTTAAGGTAATATGCTGGAATTCGTTAATTTGATTTCCCACATACAATATATGGATTGGGGACTGTTGTATTTAGGTTCGATTAACTCCATGGTTTGAAATTGTTCCATTCTCTCCGCCCCCTGCATCTATTCACCGATCAAGTGTGAGAGTCTTCGAATTCATCCATTTATGTTGGCCTTTCCAACCACCATTGGCACATCGTTTGCTTTCTCTCTGCCGGCTGCCACACCTCCGAATTCAATTGTTTTCGGCAAGGGACGTGTTCACGTAAAAGATATGGTAAGACCAGCTCACTTAATCTAGGTTGCTAAAAACTTTGAACAACAAAATGGTTATATGATGAAGCACATTTTTTAACTTGGGGTATGTTTCAGTATTATCATTGTGTTTTTTGTGTGGTTAAATCGTCACTATTGCCTATTATCTATTCCTTTCACCGATAACACATTTAACAGGTTTTGGGGTCACTAAAAGCCATAGAATGAGTTTTTTCACAACCTGGGATTGTTATAACCCATATCAGTCTTTACGATAATAGCAAGTAACAAGTGGAGGCGAAAACTAGTGTGTGTAGTGTAATCTTCTGTTCTCGGTCCACACACCCAGAATCATTCTCATAAAACTCAATTAAACATTTTATTTAATTTGATATTTGTTAGTTGTGTCAATAGTAATTGTATGAGAACGATGCAATTATATACGAACGGCTTTCCGCTCGCAATTTTTTTATCTGACTGGCCGGTTCAACGCCACCCACGTCCCATTTTATTCGTTTCAGCTCCGCAGTGGCATATTTCTCAACCTGATGGGTAGTGTTGTCTCCATTGCGGCTATGGCCACTTACACGAAACCTCTGTTTGGTTTGAATGAATTCCCGATATGGGCTATGAATACCACGGACTATGTACGTCAAGTGTGATCCACGAGTAAGGAACACATGAGGACTCATCACATTTCACCGATCGATGTTTGCATGTGTGTGGTAACTGGAACATAAAACTTCCATTCACCACCCCACACTCCCCAGCGTTCTCTACTTAACGGAATATCAAACAATGTGTGAGGAAGGCATTTACCTTCAATTCACCCATACAAAATCCGTTCTACAACGTGTCTGTTACGGTATTTACAGCCAGCATTTTCATTCATCATCGGCACGAGCAAAAACTTTGTGATTCTGCAAGCAAATACATATACAAATAAGCATTTAAATTATTGTTTTGTTGTGATTTCTTCTCACTATGCACTTGTTTTATTCTGGCAGCCAATTGCAGGCATCTTCCAGAGCACTCATTTTGCGGAGCCTGAGTGAATACTGATCATAATTTTCTCATCTTTAAGACGTTTATCTAGATTAAGATAATGCCACATTAAGAAAAATTACCTGATTGGACAGTTGCATAATTCTTTTACCTGGATACGGATATTTTGTATTCTATTTGCAATTGGAAAATAAGCTTTATCATTAGGGCGTAACTGCTAGGGGGTACGGATCTACCAGTTTCTCCAAACAATCAGAAAACCAAGAAATGCGGAGCGTTATCAGTTGAGTCCTTCCGGAATCCTTTTTTATGGATGCGATATTCAGTGATCACTTTATTTCTATCACTGATTTTACGTACGATCTCCAATATCGCTGCTTTATTCGATACTGCCAGTTGACTGTCAGCATACTGTTATATGCTACCACTTCGAGGAGCTGCCTGCATATCATTCTTTATTTGAGAATAGTGCCAGTCCTAGTAGCGATGATAAATTTCACGACGCTGTGACAACCGTGATAAACTGAGAAGCACACCATTCGTTAAAATACTCCATGGTTTCATTTCCTTTTGACCTTAACGCTTTGTCCTTAAGTTTAGCTATACACAAGGAGGAAAAGGAGTGATAGGTTTTCAGAATTGTTGCGATAAGGATAAGGAACAATACCACGGGCTCGAGAACAGGGAGGAAATTGTGGAGGCATCAATCCGTTATTTGCATTATAAATGGGAAGTAATAGTCAACCCAGGGATCACTGTGGAAAGGTTTAATCTCTGTCAGTCAATTAATGAGTTGATATTTAGTTTTGCTATTCACCTTGTAAAATACTACTAGCCGCTCTGTATTCGTGTGATATACTTCAGCTTTCATGAACTATGCTTTCGAATACCAAACATGTATGGGCATAGCATTCGGTTCATATAGACGTTGAAATTCGAGGTAACTTCATTCTCAAAGGAATTTCACTCCCTAGATAATTAAGCACCTAGCCAGAACCTGCGTATGAAACAGTTCATACACCGTTTACGCCTCATGATGGTGACTGGTGTATCTGGATATGATAGACCCAGTTTATTACCAGAAGAGTAAAGATCGAAGTTTCTTCCTAAGCCTATCAGCAATGTTTATCTGTATCACTCAATTAGAACGAGATAAAACTGATGATATGGTTAGGATGATGATGAGCGGCGATGGCCCGGTGGGAACGTCACCAACTGTTACCCCGGAGGACGAGTGATCGAATCCCACCACCACCGCCTGACTCCCCATTTGTGTATTGTACGGCAGACCCTTGATTGGCCGCTTTTCTCTTCTTGAAAATCATATCTCCGTATATTCAACAAAAAGAAAGTAAAGCAAAATGATGAAAAAATGAGAAAAGGATTAGTTACTCAACTAGAGAACTGTTCCCCCAAAGAATAGAAGGACTCGTGTTTTCTTGTCGTTTGACACACAAAGTAATCAACTTCATTATAATCTGCTGGATTATTGTTTGCATGTCGCATGATAAATGTATCCATCTATAACTCCGCTTCTTCTGATAATATCTGTATATACTCCGAATATTCCAGTATTACAAACTGCTAAGAAAACAAATAGGAGCAAACCAGCTCGGTTGCGGTGGTTAGTCCACAGGACAATACAGTAAAATTTATATCAAAGTGTTTAATAGGAATAAAACGTTTCAAGTCAGTTCGATGACCGGATTTTGCTCACACTTAGGTCATCAGGAAAACTGTTTCGTTCGAGTAATTACACGCGGATAAAGGCCTGATTTTGCCGTATGTAGCGACGACCTCGGAAGGCCGAGTGTTTAGTTTCAACTGTTATTGTGAGCATATTTGGATGGAGTACGTGAGCGGATTCCAATTCCTCCCGCTTTGGTTACGATTCGACCACCTTAGATAGACGGCTGTGAACCAAATAGGGAGTGCGAAAGGTCTCGGTCAAATGACACACGTTGTTTTGCTCCAATAGGAGTGAAACGATCGAATTTTTGATGGTCCTGGTAACCAAATTATTCATCGAAACCGGGTAGTGCTGGTAGACTCATTCAGATAAACGTCTGCTCGTGCGGCCAACATGTCTTGTTCCAAAGGAACAGGAAAATAAGTGCACGCAAAATGACTGCAGATATTTTAGAATCTGTGATGGAAGTAGAATGTAAAGGTTGTACCCTTCTCAACATATTGATGTCAATGTTGATGTTATAGCCTATGGATAAATCACCACAAATGTGTTAGTTGGCAATGTTGGGGCTTCTTACAATGTATATATATATACATCTGTGTTTATAATGAAGTAAAACTATGAGGTTACTGTGGTCGATGTCCTTTAACTTTGGTGTTTGTATCTACACGTTTGCAACAAACTTGAGCAGCGTCTATCGGGCTTTATTGCTGAGGTTCCAATTAAGTTCAGCTGAAGATGGGCAAATGTTTAATGATGAACAATACGAGCACTACCTGTCACTTTTACCGAAGTACAACGGGCAACCAGGCAGGATCCTATTTTGCGAAACTTCGCTCACTATGATCGCACACATTGGCCGACACACATTTTCGGAGCCCTAAAACAGTTTTACCTCCGTCGAGGATATATATCAATGGTGGACGATTGCATTCTGTTCTCCGAACGCGTCGTCATACCACAGGCACTGAAACGCAGAGTTCTACGACGATTCCGCGCTGGCCACAAAGGGATCAACCGCCTGAAGGCCCTCGCCCGAGGTTACGTCTACTGGCCTAACATGGACCAGCACATCGAAGAGCTTGGAAGCTCCTGCTTCAAATGTGCCCAAGAAGTCAAGGCACCTGTTAAAACCAACCTCCAATAGTGGCCAAAACCGGTAGCCTCATGGTCAAGGGTCCACGTTGATTTTGCCAGACTACTCAATGGGCACCATTTCCTCGTCGTGGTTGACGCCTACACAAAATGGCCAGAAATATTCCTAATGGAACGCGCAACCACCGGAGCCACCATCAATGTCCTCCGTAGTCTGTTCAGCATGTCTGGATCTCCAGAGACTCTGGCGAGTGACAGTGGTGGTCATTTCACATCAGGCGTTTTCTCCGCGTTCTGTGAACGATCTGGCATAAAGCACGTCTGTGTGCTACCTTACCATCCACAGTCAAACGGTCAAGCCGAACGCTTCCTGGTTACCTTCAAGCGAGTACTTCGGAAATCCAAACGGGACGGTACCACTGGAGAAGTCCTGGAAATGTTTCTACTAAACCACGGGGCATTACCAAATCCCAATTTCCCGAACGATGCGTCTCCGGCCGAGGCAATGTTTGGAAGAAAAATTCGTACACCATTCGACGTAATGCTCCCGGAGCGTCAGAACCAAACACCCTTTGGAAAACGCTCGTCCTACAGCAATGGAGTTGCAGTTCAACCACCGCCATGGTATGCGAGGTCGATCATTTGTGAGGGGCCAAAACGCTTTTGTGAGGGACCACCGCAATAACGAAGAAAGGTGGACACTTGGTCGGGTATATCGACGCCGGGAAAAGGTCATCTACGAAACCTTGGTTGGCTCTAAAGTGCGGGTGCGCCACGCCAACCAACTGAGGCCGGCAGCTTGCAATGATGAACCGAACCCCGAACCAAAATTGTTGGACGCATTCGCCATGCCAGTTTTTAGTCATGGCCCCAAGAATCAGCACCCTCAGTAAAGGCCAAAGAATCCGTGCAACCTCGACGACGAACAGGTCGCACGCGCGCAGCAACAACCCCGTTCCAAATCAACCCGAGCTTACGGTCGTACAACAAGTCGGCGAGCTCAAAACGGAAAGGTATTAGCACGGAGCTCAAACAACCCGTCAGATCACGCACGCATCTGAATCAGGCCACACGCACGCTCGCAACGCTCCAGACAAGCTGAGCCCGATTGGATCGATTGTATCAATCAATCGACATGCCAAGGTCAAAATTTGACTGGGAAGTCCAGGGCAGTCTTCTCGTATAAGTGATTGTGCTATATTGTTGCGTATCGAAATCTAACTGAACGATTACACACGGACTATGGTCTCTTTAAGCAGACTGATTGGAATTGCCTACTGGTGCACCTTTGAAGACATGAAAAAAGATGGTTCGTTAACGAAAAGTTGGTCCAAGGAGGCGTCATTTCGAGTGGAAAAAGCTACCATGTTCCGAAAGGACATAAATGTGCAAAAATTCACACAATCTGTTGAACTCGCCAGCAACGATAAATACAGATAGGACAGATTTCGCCAACATGGTTAGATACAATATATCCAAGAAGGTAGACAACTCACAGTCGGAGTGATGTATTGATTTGAAAAAATAATCGGAGAGTGACGCAGAAGCAAATGTGGTTTACATTCCACAGAAAAACGAGGTGTTTTGTTTGCAGTGAGTTAATATGCATTTGTTGAAGTTAAACCACGACCGATGCACATGTGATGACGCGCCACCTTTAGTTTTCCTTCCTGCAAGACATAATTGGAAGCCTTCGATCTGAACCAACTCGTCCTCGACGAATTCTTTTCACCAATATTCTTGGAAAAGTAACACATAACTTATGGAGTACTCTATGTAGTAAATACGAAAACCGATGTCCGACAACTTAGAAAGAATTGAGGAAACATTCCGTGGAATGATCGGAAAACCAACGTTCTCTAGGTTTCGGTG